ACTAAAGACTATCTGTTTCGTCATTAGGTATCTTGGTACAGCACGTGCAGTACTAACAGCTTTTAGTTTATGTAGTGATGATGTCACGACGATGAAAGCGATGAAAGCTCACCGGTCGTTAAAGCAGCGTAAAACGCATTTGCAACAACAACACATCGTGCATTGTATGATCATCTCGCCAGTTAATACTTTTACTTGGATTAATTGTTTATGTTATCTGTCTCCGACCAGATTTTATGATTGTTTTCTGTCAAGCTTGTATTGAGAATTTAAATATTAGTGTTCGTGGGATGTTTCCTTCTACCTATACGCAATTTATTAGAATATTATGTTTTAATACGTATGAATGTTAATAAGCAACCGGCCTTGTTATGTTAATCGTCTTTAGTTTACATCACTTCGTCATAATTTATATTTCTAAATGTACACCTAACCTAAACAACGTCGGGTTGCTAATCCACATTAAAAGCGCCAAGGTTATTACAATTATATAATTTAACCACACACCGCGCAATCTAGCTCGTTGTACTAATGATGGCAATATCGTGTGTCCCAGTGACGACACTGTTGGACACATTTACAACAACCGCGGAAGCTAAATATATGCACGGCTTATTATTTTCGAACACGCGCCCGTTATAATATTATCTCTACTTTTATTCTATTACATATATTTACTAACTAGGCCAATGCGATTCGTTTCAAAATATGTTAATATTGTAATGTGTGTGAGATGAGACGGTGTGCCAAAATATTGCTGAACAGTATTGTTTACAATTTCTGCTTAATTTTAAACAATATTATTTGATCAAATTAAAAAAAAAGTAAGTATTTTATTTCAGGCATTGGCCCATATATTTTAATTTATAGGTACGTTGGGGTAAGATCGGTGATGGGGCAAGACCGTAGGATTCAAATTCCCGGCGAATTATGCTATATTTTGAAAAGCTAACAATATGCTACACGACGCCATTTCATCCTGCCCCGACCCTCAGTTCGCACCAGTCACTCCGACAAGTGGGACCTGTGCTGCGTGGCATTTTATAAAACAATGTAATTTTTGTATTATTTTTGTCCATCCGATCTTTCCCTATCACTTTTATTTACGATTTTTAGCGAGAATATGGCTTCTTTTGTTATTATTTTGTGTGGATACTAATTTTTATGAAGTTATAGCTAAATAAAGCTGGTCCATGCAGGGGTAAGATCGCTGTAGGCCGAGATCCGATGTTTCCCCTCGTGAGTGAAGATCGGATGAATATTATCCGATCTTTGCCTGTTACAAATATGGCAGTGGTTGTTAAACTTACATTGGTCGTGTATATTTTTTCGTTGATTACTCAAGTGACTATGGGACTCAGTCTCGTAAGCAAGTCTGTATATTTAAAAGTAATAAAACAATACGATGGTTTTATTACTTTTAAGTACATATTAAAATACATTTTTTTTATAAGATAAGGGTGACAAAGGAGCACACAGTCCACCTGATGTTAAGTGATTGGTGCGGCCCATAGACATCTATATCTATCCTCTATTACAAATCAAAATGTAATTTATAATAATTATTTAAAAAATAATTTATAATAATAAATGCCGCTTTGTTAAAATATTTATATCTTCCTTAACTCCTGCATTATCCCAGGGCATTTCCCCAGTTCTTACTGTTATTTTTTTTCCCATATAAAATCAAATGCATCCGATCTTTTTCCTATATTGAGTAATTCCATCTTATGTCATAACAAAGTTTGAGAAACATAAAATTACAATTTCTTTATATCAGGGATAAGATCGGATGGCAAGAAACAAAAAAAGAGAAAATCGTTTGGAACATTTATTTTTCTAGTAATTTATAGATCATATTGAAATATGTTTTTGAGCGTTAAAGATAGGACAAATCTCTTTTATAAACTTTTTTCTCTAAGCAGTAGAAGTGGTTTTAAATTTAAGTCCGGTCTTACCCCTTAATGGCCAATTTTTCATTATGCATATAAAAAAGTATGTCTAGTTTTCGCACACCTTTAAAGCAGAAACCGTTGAATTTACACAAGCAAAAGATTCTCAGAGCTAAACAACGTTTAACGATTAACGGTTTGCTCCATGTTCCATAAATCTGACGTATACGAATGTCGAGAAATTAAAGTTTTTGGCAGACTCTTCCAACTATTCGAAAATCCGTCCGGTATTACCCCAACGTACCTTAAACTGTTTGTACACATAAACATACATAAAAACATATTTCATACCTGTTCAAATTAATTCATTTTATTATTTATATTTCATGCTATTTCAATTCTATTGAATTTATAAAAAAATGTTTTTCTCTCTGGGGCTCTGGTTCTCTCCATAGTTAATTTTCATTTGTATTTTTTTTGCATAAAAAATACACAACGTGTATATATGAAAAAGAACGAACCAGATTCCAAAATGAAAGATTTAATAAAATGTAAAAACTGACTTCAAAAAAGAAAAAGAAAAATATAACTTCGATTTAACCGTTACTGAGACATAGTGTATCGAAGAATGAAAACCAAAACTTCATAAACTATTATTTTATTTCTTTTTAGCTTTTATATCTATATTTTTTAATAAAATAAGTGTGACAAGCGGGTACACAGTTCACCTAATGGTAAGTGGATGATGTAGCCCACAACTAAGATTTCCATCTTAGTTATAGGCCACATCATCATGCCTCGTTTCCAATTAAATAGATGTCCGGTTCTCTATACCTACCATACAAAACACAGCATTGAGAGCGTGGTTCTTCCCCGGTCCAGCCAATCCACTCGTACTACAACCATAATATACCTGCAGCGTGCCTCTACCACATAGTAGATAAATTGTGCCACATGGTAGATACCAGATATACACCATATGAGATAAATAATTGATGGAACTTCTGATCATTGGTGTTCTGAACGACTTGACAAATTGAGGTCATACGCATACAATATATATATTTTCCGGAACCATGGTTCATAGTTATGCTAAATAAAATAAGATAAGAGAATAAGAAAAAATAGGATTCACATTAATGTACCAAAATAATTTAAAATCACAGATTGGTTTAGTGCCAAAAAAGAAAATCACTAAATTTATACCCGATAGGAGGCGCTTTGGTCGAGCTATTAATAAATTTTGCATTTTCTCTGTAAAAACTTACAGAGTGAAAATGGTATTATTGAGTGTCTGAGAAGAACGTACCTATGTGAAAAACAGATAGACACACCGACAGATAACGACGTAATTCCGATTTTGGCATGGAACATTAATGATGTTGATAAAGCTAAGTCCACGCTAGCAAAGGCGCGGGAAAAATTGTATTGTATATGCAATCAGCATATCAGTAAGGTCGTGTATTCTTACATAGTTCAGTTTTTAAGTCAAATGTGTAAAATTGATAGAAAAACGTTCGCTGTTTACTATCAAAGAAATGCTTAGGTATATTATTTTCTAATTATTTTGAAGTAATTTATAAAAACTTTCTCAATCATTGTTCTTTGGAAAATCTTCAACGGGCTTCATCCGCGCTTACTTAATGAGGCCAGAAGCCCGAGACATAACTAATCCGTTAAGTTACTTTATGTAGGTACTGATGACGTATTAAGCGAATTATATTGATGAGTTCTTACAATACTTATAAGAAATAAAGAATACGTTTGTATATTTTTACGCGTGTATCTTATTAAGCAACACTTCTTGATTTAATCGAATCAGAGCGTTTTACCATCTTCAGCCACATCATCACTTACCAAAGAACCACTCTGCTGGTCAAGCACTGGCTTATAATAGTTAAAAATTATACATAAGCGTACCATGCATTCCGTCTTATATCTTAATTTTTAAAGTTTATTGCGATAGAAGAGTTTTAATTCTGATAAGTTTCGTTTATTCTACATTTATTTTAAATTTTTTATCAATTGGTTTTTGTTTAGATTTTTCTGGATTAACAGCATTTATTTATTATATTTCACCATGTAATGTCGGTGTAAGAATAGCCACCGCCCCATTTTAGTCCCGTTGTAGTCGTAATAGGTGACAGAAAGAAATGAAACGGGAGATGAAAATAAGATACTACGGTTGCCAACCTGCGTGCCAAGCGTGACAACCATTAAATTTACTATCTTTAATATAAAGGATTTCCGCAAAGTAACGCCTGATTCTATTAATTATCGTGACAACCGTGGCAATTATACCCCTTATGATGTAATCTAGGCCAATGTTCTATCTACTCATGTGGTTCAACAGTGGATTTTTGATAGGCTGTAATAATAATAAAAAATTGGGTATGTTGTCGTACATAGTTCATACCACTGGTAAGTGGCAACATAGCACCTTGATTTAATTTAACCACAGTTAATTTTTTTGTAATCGACAAACGTATCACGAATGAAGTAACCAGTAGTTAGTGCATTAAATTAAGTTAATTTTACTCATAATAGGAAATCAAATAGATATAGAGATACTTTGAAATGTGTATATTTACTAATAACAGTCAAAATAATGTACTGTACAGTTTTGAACGTAATAAAAAAATTTATAATTCACACACCTGTTCTCTTAAAATGTACGAAAAATGCGTCCAAATCTGGTTAGCCTTGAACCTTGATACTAGGAATCAAAATGAACTGCGGCGTCGTTGTATGCGCATTTTGAATGCTACAGATTCATTTCGTTGTAAAGTGCGGCGTTCGGGTGTGTCGCAAAAGCGTTACCTAGGTGTTCCAAGGCGCCATCGTAGCACCGTAGTAGTAGGTAGAGTCTTGCGCGCGCCACTTGCTCGCTACCCCCCCTCCCGTGCCCCTGAGACAGGCCGTGGTCCCAGTTCTCCGCAACGCGTCGCTCGGATCGCTCGCGTGTCGTCGTCGTAAACAATTTCATCACAACTCTACCTCTGACACGCACAACGCTCACAAACACAAAATATAAAAACGGCTCCCCTAAATCCGACGCCCGGGACCCGGCGGGCCCGAATCATACAGCCGCAAGAACAAGTGGGAACCATGCAAACTAAGCTCATAAGTGGGACCTACTCATCAATCATGAACAAACAGGATTTGCTCAGAGAAGTGGTGGTCAAGTACATCGATTATTTCTATCCAGTGTGAGTACCATTCATCTTTTGTCTCATTTCTCAAGGCGCATTGCAGATTTTCTATTTCTTTTTCTTTTTGTCTTATAGTGTTAATGTGAAGGCCCTCACAGAGTTCAACTAATTACCGAACCGGTAAGTCGGTGAAGGTTCCTCGACAACGTGTTCTGACTGCAACCAGACGAACGGTTGCCATTGGCTGACGTCAGCGCCGCCTATTGAACCAAGCCGTCTCTATCGCTTGACTGCTGCTGTATCGATCCGCTGCACTAAACTCTAAATATTTCACACATTACATTATATATATGTATTCGCCTCACAAGTATTGACCTCGAAATGCTCCGCCTGCTGCGACATTGATCTTCTATCACTTTAGGTCTTTTCTCGTCGCACACATCTCTTTTAACTTTACTTTTGGAACGTTTATTTTCCTACTCTCATGAATCCATAATGTAAGAAAAAGAGCCTGCCAATATTTTAGGGTTACATGCATTCATTAAGGCGGTGTGCAGTTAGTGACTACTTTCTACCAAAAAGCTGACGTACCTGTTTATCACCTCATATGCAAAAAAAAGTAACTATTTCAGTGTTTTTGCTTTCGTTTAGTAATTTAAGGAAATTTCATAATATTTCATTGAGTTTTTAATTCAGTCATTCATAATTGCTTTGTGTTTTGTGAAAACTTAGGGAAAGGGCCCTTACATTGCATGATGGATTTGCGTGACCAACACTAACTAAATCTAATTCTATACTGTGTATTCATGTGTTCCATTAATGTCCTTTGTGCCCAATTGGTTTTTATCGCTTATGGATTACGACGTTATGTATGCCTTCAACTGTACTGAGATTTTATTGCCTCACGTATATTTATCAGACAAATAAAGAAATTTAATGCGAGATGCTTTTAACAGTGTAATAATTACTGAACATTTTCCGGTGTATCACAAAAAGTACTTTATATTTATCTCAAAATTAAACTAGTCTACTTTATTAAAGAAGGTCTGTGGAAAATGTGCGAAATAAAATGTCATCTAGAATTAGACAGCAAATGTCAAATTTCATTAAGTTACGACGCGGCGGCTAAATGACTTCTTTCCTAAGGACTCGTCTTAAAGCATATAGTTAATACCATAATCAAGAAACTGTAAGGCTTAAGTCTCGGATAGCAAAATCTAAACTAGCGTAGTGAAAGATTTCAAGTTTTAAAATTGAATAGGTACGCATGTCGGCCCGTCGTACCCGTCGATTTCCCTTAAACGACCTTGGCTGTTTGCGCAGTCCACTCAGTTCCAGATAATAAACTATACACGTTTATCGATCACAACTTAATAGTATAAAGGTCGAATATAATTGAAACTTTTGCAATAACATCAATTTGGACGCTCACTTCATAAACCCTAATGACTTACCGTTGGGAAAGCAATTTGATGCCCTCGACTCCAACAGAACATTACACATATCTTCGTAAGTATTTCGAGCGATTTGCATGTGACGTTACGATGTATGAGTAATAATGCTACTAAATTTTCATGATTCCGTGACCTTTGTTTCCCAAGTAGCATTGTTTTGTATACCAGCATTGTGTGATTCACGGAACTCACTAGCTCGTTATCGACAAATAAAATATAAATGCAATTTTTCACTTTTTGTAAATGTGCGTATCTTTTACTTACTGTTTTAATCATAAAGGTTCATTAATTCTGTAATCTTATTATGGGCAATGTCCTTAAAATACCTAATAAAAGTGAATTATAATTTATAATTCACGGTTTTTATATAACAAGTAAACAAGCTAACAACAACACTAAAGCTAAGTACAGTATTGTTTATTATACTTTATAAACATATACTCAGCGACTCACAAATTGTGCAATAACTTGCGTTAAACAATATTTTTTCAATTAATTATGAGTTGGTGTGGTTAAGACGAGTTTCTTTATTATGTTTTATGGATTTTTGTCACAGTGATTGAACAATGAATGCATAATTAAAATTAAATAAATTAAGAATTCCCTTAATTTTTACTTTAAGTAACAATTACAATGACAATTAAAAACAAGCCTTTTTTTAATTTATAACTCATAAGTTTTAAAATCTGGTGCTTACTCTAGCTCTTACGATTGCTAGAATTCGGTTTGGCGAACTCTGGACGATGTTTCTGATGTCTACTTGTGGTATAGCATCCCAAGCTGCCCGAACTTTATCTTTCTTTTAAGCATGCCTCAGATGTGCTCTAATGGATTTAAATCCGAAATACGCGCTGGTCACTGCAGTTTGTGAATACCGACTTCTGAGGTAGGCAATTCAGAAGTTCGCGCATGCATTAAAATAAATTGGTCGTAGCCTATATAAACATTGTAAAGGAAAAAATGCATAACATGATTCTAGAAGCTCTCCTCGATGTATTGTATAAACACATTTGAACGATTTTCGACCATAACCTATTCTGTCCGAACATTCGAGAACTTATTCCTCCTCCTATGTTTTTCTGAGTGATGGACTCATTATCTACCTAGGAGTCTGGGTAGGTACCATTCTCTCTCTCTCTCTCTTTCTCTCTCTCCAAATAGCAGTGCGTGCACTGCTGTATGCCGGTCTGAAGGATATTAAGGGCCGGTATAACTATAAGCTGTGAGGTACCATCTTAAGCCGATATTCAGAGACAATCTTGAGCTTTATCTCCACAAGGTCATAATTTGAGTCTAGACCACACTATGCTACATAAATTTTGATATTGTGGAAATATAATAAATTTAAACTCGAGATTATCTCTGAACACCGGGCTTAGTCGTTAGAGGTGACAACGCTTTTTGTAGCCTTTTTTGTTTTGTCTATAGGTATCTATGCAGTTAAGTGTCTTTTAAGAATTGTATACAAACCAACTTATGGGGCCGCCATAATAACTCGCTGATATTGTATTGATAATAAATAGAAACCGTTCTCCTTTTGCTCTCCATACACTTCCTCAATCGTCTGGAACTCATAAAGTAATTCGGCGCTTATCAGTACTTATTATAAAGAACAATCTAACCCATTGCTCGTGGATCTTGTTGGTATTTTATCGCGAGAACCCTAGAATAGCTCTCGGTGATGTTTAAGTAACTTTATGCTGCGTGCTATATAGTCTACGAGTGTTGCCGTGTCTCAATAGCTGTAAGGTAGCGGTTTCGTAATAATTCTAAGGCAAAAAACAGGCCTTCTCAAGCTGATGTACATTTTACCACTCAACAACATGATCTTCGGGAGACCAGTCTCCTGGTAGCTTTTTAAAGCATACTGCATTGATGAACGTGGTACATTCAGCACAACATTCACTTGTGTCAGCCTTTGGTCAATAAACGTTACGGTTTGTGCAACTTGTTCTGATACTAGTTTTTAGTTTCTGTTTTTTGGAACGAAGTTCCTTATCGGACGGTACGAATTTGGCGTATGGGGCTAGGCGAGAAAAAGTGTAAGATTTATCCGTCACGACCCCTTCTGACGTAGTATAGACCGCCTTGGCGGCTATCAGGAAGCAAGATGGAATAATATCAATGTCTCATGCACTTTTTCTTATCTTACCATGAAAAAATATTATTTTATTTTAAATGACGCTTCATTTTAATAGACGGTAGTAATTCTTTTATTTATAATTTGTTAATCAATAATATAAAGGAACTTCGTTCGAACCGAGTGTTCCACGACACACGAAAGTTTTTTTTTTGTTTTTTGGGAAGCACATTTAAATGTTAAATTACATTAAAAAAATCCCAAAACTCCATAAACATAAAGCTATTTTTTTTTACATTTACAAATTTAAAATTTGACTCCTTAAGGAAGCTTAAGCTAAGCTAAGCTTATATGACTGCTTAATCTGGATCTCTAAAAACTGGTATCAGGGTACAAAGCAGCTTTAAAAAATGACCAATATTAATAAGTAAAATTCATCTCAAACTTTTCAAACTTTTGTTATCACGTGCTAGGAGCTTGCCTAATATTTTGTGCCCCTGTAGTTATTATTTTGGGACATTATTTAAATTTTAAGACATTCAATTGAGCATGGATGAAGAGACTTAACACATTTTGGTTTTGCTCATTGCAAATTCTTATTTCTTTAAAATTTTAAAAGAAAAATTCCTGATCTTAGTTTATTGTTGAGGTAATCCTTTTTAAAATCTACTTATAATGAGACGTTGTTCTCAAGTATGCACGTGCGTGGTGACAAAACCCTTATCTTTCTTTTGTTTGCCTCATATATTTACTGAATACCTTATACAGCGCACTATTTGTTCGTCACTTAAGCAGCTGCTTTGCCTAGACGACAATTGCGAATGCTTACTTTGAACGATTCCGTGCTCTAAGATTATATTTTAAACGCTGTCATATTGTCTGGTCTAACCAACTCTTTGCTTGTTTTTAATGTTACCAAGGCTTTTTTGTTAATGACTCTTTTAAACACGTATCAACATCGCCATGTTATAACAACGAGTAACACATATGTGAACCCGTCCGCTTAAAGGTATATTTAGCAACAAATAGTCTCTCACGTATTGGTTTTGAAAGTCACGCGCCAGTCAACTTTTTATAGCATCGTATAATTTTGCAATGTCTGATGAATTTGAAAGTATTTTAATTTGTGAGGTTTTCTCGATTTCAACACAATGCTTGAACAAATTTTATTTTATTTATTATAGTGATGATTTTACAAATGTATTTCAGGCACTAAATATTTCTAGCAATACTTTCAAGCTAATTATTGCGGTAAAAAAATGAGTTTCTTTTGTTATTATTACAAAATTCGCGAGTGTATCCTTTTTATAGCACAATAGCATAATATAATATATTAGCTGGCCAGGCAGACGTTGTTCTGCCCTTTTCGACGACCCTTCATATAAAAAATCCTTAAAACGTAATAAAAAAATATCGAGTGTCACTTATCAGGTTAAAAACTATCCTATCTCTCAAGTTGGACCCAACTGCATAGAGTATGCAAATTTCATTGAAGTCAGTTCAATAGTTTAGGAGTTCATCGCGGACAAACAACGTGACACGTAATTTTTATATATAAAGATTATGCTATTATGTTAGTAGAAATGAAAAAATTAAAATTGGCTTCTTAATTCTTGTTATTATTATCATACTGTTTACTTTTACTTTGATTGTGATAATAATCATCATCAACAGCAACAGTTTTTAAAAATCAAAATGCTTGTTATGTAATAAAAATTTAAAACACTATTGGGAAAATTTACTCATACTCACGACTGCGAAATTTGCGCTTCTGATCGGATTTTCCACCATCAGTCGGTAGCCAAAACCTGTGGTCTGTAAGTGTGCAAAATGCACCACATGTTATGCAGGAGTTATACATTTGGAGAAAAAATTGACTAATTCCCCCTTTCATCACCGCTTGTTTGGATGTCACCTTATCTTGTTTTAATTAAGAAATTTTAAAATAAATTTTTGCCAAATACCATCGGCTTTGAAATACATTTTTTCCTTAACTCTATTTTGCTATACTACTACTTTACGTAGTCACTCGAGGAACACTAAACTCGTTTTACTCACTCCCAGCGAGAGAAAGCTGCTTTTAATTTTATTTTACTGTCCCCAAGTAGAGTTCATTTTCAAAGAAAATACTTGTAATCTAATACTAAGTTCTGTTGACGTATGGTCATTAGTCATTATATTCTGCAATTAACAAGATATTCTGAATTGAACATTGTGTATTGTGGCATCAGTTGCTGCGGCGGTCATGCGGTCCACGCCCGTTATTTAATATCCGAGAGTACAATAATGGACTGGTCGAAATCGATCCGCGGCCACGCTTGTTATCGACGCTTCAGTGGCTCCAACTTTAGCGTTGTTTTGTTCACCTCGTTGACGCTACACGGAATCCGAGGCCGGAGAAAGTCAAGTACGCAGCCGTACAACGTGCTACATATTGCTGCCGGATGATTACGAGAACGATTGTATCATAATGGATAAGTCCGGCAATAGTCAGCAGTAATTGCATCTCGAGCTGCCGCGAAGTAGACTGTATCGTCCGTCATTCTTCGACTGTACATAGCGAAACACAACGTGATGTTCTCGTGATATATTTGTAGCTTCAGTCACGCTTTACTTTATTCAATATGGTCATGATAGTCCTTATCTTAGAATAATTCCAGAATAAACAAAAATCATTTGCACTTTGCTTTCATGAATATGGTCTTATTTGTCTCTATTCTCATACGTCTATGCACAGTGTAACGTGTTTTATGGTTTCTTTTAAAGTAATATGCCATCGTAAATTGTTCGTTGTCTTTAAATCCTGTTATTTTAAGCGTTCGTTATCAAACCAAAATTTGTCACTTCTGCCACATTTATGCATACCGCCAACATTAGTGTAATCATCCGCGCAGCAATGAACGGAAATTCATCCTTGAGCCGTCCGTCCACCAATTTGTAAATTTAATCAATTGTAATAGTTGTGGTGTGGTGCTTTGACACAATCACCTTTTACACAACAAACATTATCGTATGCAAATGCATTCCACAGTAATTAACTTAGGCTAAGGTTTTTATGGGTTTTAAAATAGTGGCTGTGTATAATAAGGTGAATTATTCACGCATTCCGATTCTAAATTTACCGATTCGAAACGCGAGAAAACTTAATGCAAAGTACGTACACACATACAACCTCGCACGTAACATAATAATATCGTACCCCCCAACAAAACGTAAAAAAATTTATTCGTGTTAAAGTAGCCTCAGGGCTGACAGGAAAAATGTTACACGATAAAGAGGGAAGGGAAAATTACAGGAGAAATTTTTTTAAGATGTCAAACCTAAAATAATCACGGCGGCGATCATTTCAGAACTAGCAATTTGAGCCTGAAGAAAATTAACTGCTAAAGTCCCAAAAGATAACTGAAAAGGTACTACTGCGGACACAATCCGTTAGTCTTTAGCTCAGCGTTCCGATTACGGCAAACATTTTTTTATGCGCCCAGAAGCAATTGGAAAGGGCTACCCCGATACGCGAGGAAGTGGAGAATGCTTTATGCATACCACGACAGGCGGTCTGTCGTAGTTATGTGGGGCTAACTGTGACTACCTACTGGGGAACCTAAGTGATACCCACTAAACTCCACTTTGGGGACTGGCAATTGACTGATTAAGCCTCTTTGCCGAATAAGCCTCTTTGCCGGATCGGAAGCGACCCTCTTTTGGGAGAAGGAGGCGCAGATAGCGGCAAACATATGACCTTTTTTTACTAGCGTAGATAATAAAATCCAGGAATGGGATTTGTTCATGATAATAAAAACATCAAGACGTTAAATATACATTAATAGTGAATCTTACAACCGTATTTATAATAGTATTTAAAATTTACTATGTACAAAACTGCACCGTTACCTTATTTACCTTATTATCACTAATTGAAATCTTATTGTTCACAGCGCGTCGGGTACCAGCGCCGTGGCAATCGACAACAAGATCGAGCAAGCTATGGTAAGTTACAGCAGCTGCATTTTGCAGACTTGTTTAATAGTTTCGGATAGCATTACATCTGAGGTATGGCTAACTAACAAGTAAAATAATAAAATCAGAAGAAGACTTAAAGACGCGTATAGAGACAAATTACGGGAGGTAAATTGCCTCTTTCAAGCACGAATCCTCCCATAATATATATCCTGAATTTTACTATGCCAAAATTTTGTGAAGATTTAGTGACAAATAATAACTTAAGAAAAAAATGTGACTTAATATATTTTCAGAGCTAAATCACTCTTTGGGAGGATTCAGGGCTCTAGTTAAGCTAGCCAGTAATACTGTGTGACACTACTTGGTGACTTTTATAATATATCAAATTTGAAAAGATTTGCTCCAATGGAACTCGAGTTATTCTATGTGGCAGAGCCACACTGCAGCTATATTATGGTTGTATCACGAATGGGTCGTCTTGACCGGAGTAGAACCACGCTCTCACAGAATATCAGCTTAAAATAGTAGCTTAATGTTGCTGCTGTAGAGACCTGGAGACCCTGGTGTATCACTGTGATTTTCTGAATTATGGATTTCTACTGTCGCCCATTCATTAAATGATATTTCAATAGCCTCGCGAATCATCCTTGGAAGGAATCGGTGTTCTTTAGCAAGACTTCAAGATACTGTAAGTTCAAACTGCGTAGATCGGAACAAAAATTAATAATTTTAATCAGGAAGTAGCCGTGGTAAAGTATGGCATATTGGGACGTCAAACACCCCTCCCCCGGTAACGTCGGGAATATAAAATAAGTTAATATACGCGATAAAATCCGTAAAACTAGTTTTATTTAAATTATTTGCGACTGTTTAGACGTAATGATTTAGAAGTAAATATTTTACTTTAACTTACAATTTTAAATAATGCTCCTTACGGCTACGTGTAGGTTTTAAGAATAAATTAACAAGGTTGTATTATTTAAATAAACTAAACTAAACCTTATACTGACAGAAGAGGCTTCTAGTAGAATGATATTAAAGTCTTCACATATTTACCACGATGTGTTTATTAAGCTTAAGCAAAACTACCTTCACAACCTTTTCAAAATAGTCTTAAGTAGCCCATGGTGTACTATTATGTATTCTGTGACATGGGCGTCTGTAAACACTGCGGTGCTCGAACTTGACACAAAACACTTACAGTTCACTCAAAAAAAGGGTCAAAATATTCTATATAGTACGTGAGGGTAATATGGTCACTTTCTTATAACTTAAAAACTACAGAATTGTTTGCAGAGATAGCTCTGTGATACGATAGCTCTTCATCAGTTAATAAAATAATAAAGGGTGAAAAGGGCGCTGCTTTATCGACGCGATTTTTCGAAGTATTCCTAATAATTGCCAAAACTTGTTTGCTATTTTTTTATTAATATATTAGTTAAAGTTACACAAAGTCGTAAATTAGTATACAACTTTCTGTTTTTGTCTCTGTCCTCCTCCTAGCTTTGGTTTTATATGACGACAAAGCATAAGGTGACCATATTACCCTCATATACTTTATATGAAGGTTTTCTTTGCTTGAATTGCAAAATTATCATTTCGTCAATAAACCCAAGTTTACAGTAGAAAAAGTCAGTGTCATATACATGCAAAGTAAATGCAGCAATCGAGTGCCAGTTGCATCGAGAATGCGTCTAAAACCTCTTCGATGACAATCTCCGTAGTCCCTATATGGTCTGAATAGCGCGTTAGAAAATACAAACGTGCTACAATGCAATGTATGCGACGTTATGCGCGCTTAAATATCCAGCTGTGAAAACACTTTACATTACGGTTACCCTAACTATTTATTAGAACTAATTGTTTTAATTGATAATAATGCTTAATCTTTTATGTAACTTTTAAAACTTGCAATGAAAGATTTCAACGGTTGGGCTTTGTCACGATGATAAACTCGTACAATAGTAGTTAAATTGGTTTAAAAATACTAAACTATAGATTAATATTTTCCAGTTTGTAAGTTTTTAGGTAATATGTCCCAAAATCAGTGTAGTCTTACAAATAGAGAGTAAAAAAGTAAACTAACTTAAGAGAAATTTATTTTAAATGTTTTTGACAATATCGATGTTTGTTTAAAAATCATAAACAAGTCTGTTATGTTTTTATCACAAAACGCTTCAAAGATCAAACAAACAAATATTTGACGTTAAATATGACCTTTATGAAGTTGCATACTGCTTTCGCCGTTAACAGATATTTTATGATATTAATTTTGACTCTAAGAAATTTCTTGTCTACCTCTGTAGCAATAGATAAACAAACTTCTTATTTTCTTTCGTTAATAATTTTGTTGTTTAATACGTTATTATATTACAAGCTGTAAAAATCTTCTTACTCTTCCTTGTCTTCTTTCGATAGAAACCCTGAATAATACAATCGAATTAAAACCGAAAATGAAGTATTTATATAACTAACCAAAGTGTTATCAGTTCTGTATTATGCAAGTATCCATTCTAAACGCCTCGCGGAAAACGTATTAATTTCACAATATATGACGTTATTTCAAGACGATAAACCCCAGTTACTAACTAATTTGTAGTTCACGTATGTATGTTTTTATGAATTCAAGTGTTACTCATAAAACTGTGTGAATTATTTAAATGTATGGTCGATCATTTATAAATTATACCAGTTAGAGTAATATTAAAAGTTATATCAATTTTTTATTTATTAAATGTAATATAACAATTTTTAAAAATTTCGTACTCATTGTCATTATCAATTATATTTATAATTTTAATTTAAATAGATTAACTGAGGCTAACAATTATCAATGAATTTTTATTTTTGATAAAAATGCTAAACGATCTATAAAGTCTAGGTCATTGGGGATCATAAAGAGAGACGAGTAAAATAATATATCTTCATTCACTAGTCAATTGCTGAAAATAGGCCTAATAGCTGCAACCCCATAAACAACGACATCTTCACTATCAAAAGGAAGTTAAAGATAAAATGAAAGTACACTATGTGAATGGATTACGAACAATAATTAACTTCGAATAAAGAGCATCGTTTAAGAACACGATATAAAAACAGAATCATCGCATCAAAATAATAAACTCTTAATCAATAAATTCTTAATAACGTCCTTTGCTACTGTCATATTCAACCTTCGCTAAGGATATTTAATTTGACCTTTTCGGGACACCTATTTAAGCCTTAAAATAGGACCGAATGGTTCTCATGTGGTTTACCTTAATGACTTTTTTATCTGCTAGAGACAAAGTTTGTTTAATAGAAAGTGTACAAGGCTTTCTTCTCTAGGGTACGATATTTAATACTTGACTTTATATAGGTTAACAACCTTATGTATATAAATAGTGGGTCTTATTTTTTGTTTAGCCAATAGGATAAAATGGTGTCAGTCGGTACTTCTTCTTTAAAGTTTGATGATAACGATTAATCTTTCTAGCCACAAGTTGAGAATAAGTGTTTGGCAATAAATTGAAGTTTTATATTTCGACCATTATTAACTATGTTTTAGGAAATTAGAAAATATACAGCGATACTTTACTCATATCACTGTGTAACATTGAGTTCACCCCAATACGGGTTATTTGATTCGGTTTTCTAATACAGTTCATCAGTATACGTTAAAAAAAATGTTGTGTCAATTTTCTGATCCAGTAGAACGCAATTGCGTTGTGTAATTCAGTTATACGAAAAAACGTAACGTTTTCTTTGGTGCGTACGGTTTGATCGTATTGGTAGAATACACACATATTGCATATCAATTTAGAGACCGTATATAAGAAAAATGCTTCGGCAAATCGCAGTGTATGAAACCGTCATCATCTAAACTATCAGAAATGTTAGTCCGTAGTAATCTTGTTGGAAATAAAAATAAACTACGTACGGTATAAGAATGGTTTCGACTATGACAGCATACGGGACATGGATCGTTGTTGATGAGGTCGTATTGCGGGCACTCGGTAACGTGTCAGTCGGCCGCACACTGAAGGTTCCGCGTGTGCCCGATGCAAGAAGTTCTCAGAAAAGCATAGAAAGAGGCGATAAAAACAACCCGTCGCATTTGCTAGAAAGTAACGTCGTGTTCAAATGTAAACAAACGTAATATAGGTTACAAGAGGCATCTCTCGCTGTTGACCTTGCGAGTTGTTATCATTTTACATTAATGTCTTACCAGTTTATCAGCACTTGAAGATGTTTGTAACTTCCTCGTATATAATGGCGACATAGTTTCAAGTGTAAAGTTGTTTTTTCCTTTCATTCAACTGATTTTTTTTCATGAAACCATAGTTGCAGATTTCTCTAATATTATGAATTATCAGAATATTATGTAAATTAAATATTATGACTACTGAGGCATTAAAATATAAAATGATTGAAAGTTAGAATTCGTCCATTTTATTTATCTCAAGTACCTAGTAACAAATAACATAAAATTTTATGTAATTTCTTCTCACTGATACTCGTGCACAAACAAGAAAGCAGTGAAATCGAGGCAATTCAAGTTAATTGTTTTTTTATTGGACTTAAAAACTCTGTTTATATTAATTGAAAAAATAAAACAGCTGGAAATGTATTTACATTGCAGTACGTAACATCTGTTATTAAAAATATAAATTAATTGTGAGGAATATTTCTGGTATATATTTTGATTTGATTACTGATTTGAGTTCGCACATAAAAGTTATTATTTAGTAGTATTTTGTATCATTACTAATCATATCATTTGAAACGACGATTTCGATAAAAATGTTTATCGCCTATCTTTTCTAAAATTACAATATATTATTTACAAAATTCAAATCAATGATTTAATCTAAACTAAATGTTTGAATATCGAATTTTTTTGAGGATTCAGTAGAGAAATGATGGCAACCGAACCTCCACCGAAAGTTCTAAGCAACCCTTGCTCCGCCGTTAACATGGTCTATAGCCAGGGACAGCGGGAACCGCCGGAGACTGGAGGCTGTTCTTTATGTCGTTGCTCATGATTT